TCGTTGTTCAATGCGCATATCGCCGATGTCAGTAAACGCCACTACGCTGCTCTCCAGGTCAGGTCAGACTTGTAGCTGACGCTAAACGAAAATTCCTGGAGCCTCAGAGCCCAGTGACCCCGACGCCCAGTCGGGTACTTCAGAGAAGTCAGCCATTAGAGGGTGTGGTGGTCCGTAACGACGGAGAATATGCGACCATATAAATATGGCCGGAACTTGGCGATGGCATAAACTAAAGCTAAGCACTCTCTCTCGGTGATGGAATAATTCCTATCAGGGGGGAAAGCAGGCGACTGGCGTAAGCTATCACGCACTGTCTGCCGTGGTGCCACTGAGCGAGAACTGCGCCAATACCGTGGCCACTGGCGTCGGTGCGAACTTCTGTGGCAGCAGAAGGATTAAAGTGGGCAAGTATGGGGGCGTAGTTAAGTAGCCGATGAGAGCGGTGAACGCTTGAGCCTGCTCAGGGTCCCATGAGAATGTGGTATCTTTCTTCAGCAAATCTGTGAGTGGCCTGGCAACGTCGGCGAAGTTTTTCACAAAACGTCGAAAGTACGAACATAAGCCGATGAAGCTCCGGACGTCGAATGTAGAACGGGGCACGGGAAAGCTACGGACGGCGCGGATCTTTTCGTGATCTGGTTGGACGCCATCGGTGTTTACAAGATGGCCCTGAACGGCAATCTGACGGCGGCCAAATTGACATTTCTCGGAATTGAGTTGTTGCCCAGCTGTTCTGAAGGCTGCGAGAATTGCACCGAGACGGGTCAGGTGGCTATCGAAAGTAGATGAAAAGACTATCACATTGTCTAGGTAACAGAGACAAGTAGACCCCTTATAACCACGCAGGAGAGAGTCCATCATTCGTTCGAATGTGGCAGGGGCGTTACATAGTCCAAAAGGCATGACAAACTAGTATAAACCATCCGGTGTAATGAAGGCCGTCTTCTCGCGGTCCATCTCATCGACAGAAATCTGCCAGTAGCCAAACCAAAGATCAATGGACGAGAAGTATGTAGCGCCGTGCAGGCAGTCCAACGTGTCATCGATGCGTGGGAGCGGGTATACGTCTTTTCGCGTGATTTGTTGAGGTGGTAATAGTCAATGAAGAAACGCCAGGTACCGTCCTCTTTTTTTTTTCACAGGGACGACAGGGGAGGCCCAAGAGCTACTTGATGGTTCTATGACACCTTTGTTGAGCATTTTGTCAACTTCCGCTTGGATAACTCTGCGCTCTGTGTGGGAGACACGATAGGGGCGTCGGCGAATAGGACTGTCGTCACCAGTGTTTATACGGTGCTGAATGGTGTATGTTTGCCCTAGAGGTGTGTCGTCGAAATAAAAAATGTCGGTATATGACGCAAGAAGGCTATGGATGTCGTTGGCTTGCGCAGGATTGAGGTCGGGCGCAATCATCTTCGAGAAACGATTTGGCACAGAACAGGTGCTGTTAGCTACAGGAGACTGAAGTAAATCAATCTCGGTGGTGAGAGCCGCTATTTCGAATTCGTCAGCATCATTAGATACGCTGGCCAACAACATGCCACGAGGAAGCACTTGAGGGCACAAGCTGAAATTGAGAAGTGGGAGTGAGGTACAGTTGTCAGTGACAGTGACAAGCGTATGGGGAATGGCGATGTTGCGGCTTAAAAGGACGTCGGCGAGAGGAAGGAGGACGTGTTGACCGTCGGGAACCTGTGGCTGTGCGGCCAGAACGACGTAGGTGGCTGCATGAGATGACAGTCGCACATTCTGAAGAGAGCACAGGCGCGGTGGGGCAGTGTGGGGTTCAGGGACTATCTGAGGCAGCTCTAGCTGAAGGACGGCGGTGGCACAGTCGATAAGAGCAGAATGATTCGACTAGAAGTCCAGGCTTAGGATAACGTCATAAGGGCAGTGGTCAATCGCGGCTAAAATAAGTAGCCCCGCCGCGGTGGTCTAGTGGCTAAGGTACTCGGCTGCTGACCCGCAGGTCGCGGGTTCAAATCCCGGCTGAGGCGGCTGCATTTTCGATGGAGGCGGAAATGTTGTAGGCCCGTGTACTCAGATTTGGGTGCACGTTAAAGAACCCCAGGTGGTCAAAATTTCCGGAGCCCTCCACTACGGCGTCTCTCATAATCATATAGTGGTTTTGGGACGTTAAACCCCACATATCAATCAATCAAAATAAGTAGTGCGGTCCTTTATACTTACGCGGGCAGTGCACTGACCGAGAACCATCGACGTGCCGCCATCTGCCCCACGGAGCACTTGTGCAGCCACTGCAGTCAGAACTTTCTTTAAACGTGTGCGTAGGCTTGAACTCATGACCGAAATGCTTGCGCCGGTGTCTACAAGTGCTTGTACAGGTACGCCGTCCACTTCAACGTCTATTACACTTCGTCTGGTGGGAATGGAAAGAGGATTTGCCGCGGAAGTCGTCAATGCAGCACAATCTCCAGCGGCTGCATTTCTCCGTTTTCCGAGACGATGCGGCCGGAAGCCACAGGGGATGAGAAGCGCCGTGGCTGCGGCGAACGGGACGATGGGTGACGTATTTGCGACGAACGAGACTGGTGTCCACGTGGTGAAGGCGAGCGGCTGTGCCAAATGTTCAGGAATGGTCAACGGCATTTGACTCTTGGGCAGGTGAAAAGGTGTAGGTGGTACCGTCGAAACGGGTCATATTGGTCGTTGCACGAGGTGCCTACGACCATGTCTTGCGGCAGTAACAAGCAATATGTCCGACGCAGTGGCAGTTGAAACATATAGGGCGGTCATCTGCAGTTCGCCACTCAGCCGGGTTGCGAGTGCGTGGAGAAAACCGTCGGTCTGAGGAGGGCATCGCGAAAGGGCGTTCGCTGACTCTGGGTGCGGTGACATGGCACACGGAATGCACTCCGATGCTTTCAAGCTCCTGGCGCACCATGGTTTGAGCAAGAGGAACAGTAACAGGAGTGGTATCGGTACTGCGCGAATAGAACACCAAGGGCGCCATTGCTTCCAATTCGCGACGAACAATGCGTGTCAGGTCTCCCGGTGGCGACGGACGTCGTGGTGTGGACTGGCAAGTCGGTGTTGCAGTGGTGTTTGGAAGTCGGACGAATGTTTGCAAAATGCGGCGACTTTTGACTCGCTCAAACTGACGACACTCTTTGATGATAGCATCCATGGTGGAACAGCCCTTGCACATCAGGAGATTGAACGCGTCGTCGGCAATCCCTTTCAGGACATGCCCGACCTTAAGTCACCTTCTGTCATGTCGCTTTTGGCCTTTCGGCAGAGGGCCAGCACGTCTTGAATGTACGCGAGGTACGAGTCCGAGGAGGATTGGGCATGGCAGGCCAATTTCTTTTTGGCGGCGATCTTACGACTGACGGTTTTGCCAAACTCCTCATTAGTCCCAGCTTGTGAGTTCTTCTTCATTGTTTTCATACCACACCTCGGCCATGCCTCTCAAGTAAAACAGCACAATAGCCAACTGAAGAGTGGGATCCCATCTGTTCGGCACACTCACTTGTTCGAACATGGCCATCCAATCGTCAACGTCGACGCCATTGGTCCCGTAGAATGTACCGAGATCCTTAAGTGGCGTGAAAACGTATGGTTGCGACGCCGTGTTCATCGGAGACGCTGACGTTGATGCGGAGGGGTCATCATTGGCCGCGGCTGGAAAACCGATGTGACGTCCGCTGCGGAGCTCCGTTGCCTGATGGTTTCCCGGCACCTCGACCAATATATTACGGGGTTGGTGACTTTTGTACAAAATGAATTTACAGAGGAAAAACCACAGGCAAGAGTCACAATTACTGATTGGCACACTCGCGCGCCTGTCAGCTGCTTGTGTGCTTCCTTTACTTCATCTCAGTAACAATATTAATATATCTGGTGTTGTTTGCCCATACCCTCACCGCAGTGGTGACGCAGGGGCATAGCCAGAAGTTTTTTGACTCGCACCTTGTCGGTGTCGCTGGTCATGTCTTCCACTTCTAACGGTTGCGTTCGGCTTCCCTGGCTCGGGCCTCGTCGGCGTCGACGTCGCCATTCGCGAACGCTATCGGCTTCGCTAACCCTCGCAACACTGGCGACAGCCAGGAAAGGTACGCGGACACTAGCGGGAAGCATGCCGCGATGGTGTACAACCTGTCGGCGCGATCGCGCTGCATGCAGAGACGCGCTGTCCACATCAACGTTACTTGAACCAGGTAACGTTGGTGCACATTGTCGGCGCCGCTATATTCTCGAGGCGCACGCAGCGCACACACTCGCTGGCTCGCGGCTTCTTCTCGCCGACAGACGGAGAGAGGTGGCAGGGGTGAAACGAAGTCCATGTGGTGGTGGTGGTAGTAGTTAGAAGGTGAGAAAAGGCACCTAACTTCTGCAACCCGGTCGGGAGCACGGCGCAGTGCCTGATGTTAGAAGTGGGCTCGAGTACATTCTAGTGTCATTAAAGCTAGAGCGTTGCGAGTGGTGGAAACGGTGAAGCGACAGAGAGAGCTGACACGTGGCGAGGTGCTGCAGGCGAGGAAAAGAGACGTCACCGCGCACTGCTAGGAGGGCGTGAGCTACTTGACACCGCTTCATTACCTGCGGCGAGGGGGGAGTGGTGCGGACGGAGGGACAGCGTTACACAGGCTAGTGAAAAAGCTGCTTCGCATCTAAAAAAAGTAAACAAAGCTTTCGCTGTCAGGAGTCATTCGGTGAGCTTCTTGCATCGGAGTTAATGTAACGAGAAAATTTCGCTAAGGAAAGAATAGTGTGTTTAAAATATTTCAAAAACAAAGCGCTATAAAAATCACACGCAGTAGTCAATGAAAAACGTGATGGTAGAGTATGGAAGCATAAATCGCGTAATAAGCCAGCTTGTGCTAGGCGACAGAAACAGCAAATGTTAGAATACCGTGCAAACGTAGTTGTTATAATGGGTTTAAGTTGTATTTGGTGATCGCTAATGCACTTTTACGCATACAGGATGTTATGCTTGTTTGGCCTAGCTTGACGGCATGAGTAATAGCGGCTGGCAACCATGTTAATGCAGTGTCAGGTTGTCTGGTTTTGTTCCAAATGTTTTTTCGGTGGCTTCGTTGTGATCACCGAGCGCTAGCGTACTCTAGCTTAATGTAATCAAATGGCGGAGAGGTTCTCTCGGTTTCACGAGGTTCGAGACTATCAGGTATCTGAATTTATCACTCTGCAAGTGTGCTCGCAGTTGTGGTGTTGCTTGGCGAGTTCTTAGAAATCTCTGATCTTTATGTGGTCTAAGCCTAAGGGGCCTCTGGCTGCGTTGATAACAGCAGGGTAGCATCCAGCGTTCGCTATAAATATTAACTTCGCTATTTATTAAGCACAGTTAATTAGGCGAGCTTTTTTATATTTATACTGCTTCAATTTTTTTCTTATTTCTTAAAGATTAGACGTCGCGCAGCAACGCCCAGCATCACCGCGCAGGTGCTGGAGTGTGTTTGGATGCCGTGCAAGTGGTTTTGTTTGTCGCAGACGTGCCTTTTGACAGCGCAAGCCACTTGCTTGCACATTGACGCGTTTGTAACCTGTCCCAGGTAATCTTGTCTTCTGCAAACCGCCGTTTCTGTGGGATTACTTTAGCTGCTCGAGTTTTGGGCCCATGGACTGGTCGTAACGTGCTGTATTATGCGAAACTGAAGTTGTTTACGTCACAGCTAATACCGTGTCGCGTGTATTTACCGTGTTTTAACAAGTTTAACAATTTCAAGCCTGTGTTAATCACTGGCGCTGCGGTGCACGTAAATTTTATTGTCTGGTTTATGTCGCTCGGCATTCACCTACGCTTCTGCATTTTCCACATGAACGGGAAAACGCTGTCATTTACGGCACGATAATTCGGTAAAGGGCGCGTCCTGCGGTCTGGTATATCTGTCTCGACAACTTCATCTCATCTCCCAACTCCCGAAGAGCGTTTGTGTTTCCGATTTCGGTTTCGTTTTTCTGGAGTCCCTCTCAGATGTGACAGTGCTTATTCTTGAACGCGTCATTGGATGCTAAAGAAATATATAGTGGTCTTTTGTGCACTATTCACAAGTATGCCTTTGATTGCGCCTAGAAGATAAGTTCCCTTACAAATGTTACCAGCCCGTAAAGGAAGATCGTTAATTATTCAGCAACAGCGAACGCACAGCCGATATCTCCCAAGTTGTTGAAAGTTCGGGTTTAGGGGGCTTGCAAAACACCCTAGTTAGACCTGCCGTGGTGGTCTAGTTACGGTTCGTGAATGTTGAGTCGAAGGTCGCGGGATCGAATCCCAGCCGCCGTGACAACGTATCGGTTGAGGCAAAATGCTAAAAAAAACGTGTACTTAGAATTACGTGCGCATCACAAAAACCGAGGTAGTCGAAAATTTCAAAGCCCCATGGCATCTCTGAAAATCATACATAGATTGTTGGGGTGTAAAACCTGAACGAAGTAACATTTTCTCTATTCTTGTGTACATAATAACTTCTTGCGAGCACCAATTTCTCTTGCAGGCCTCCTTGATTTGGCTGCATTTTTTGTACGTAGTTCACGAAAGTATCTTGCCAGTGCCACACCAGCTTCTCTAGTGTTAGTGCAGCATGACACTAGCGGTTTCGGTGCAGCGGTTGAATCGAGGGCAAAAAGTGCAGTTAGACCTTTTACCTTGCATCACTTGCATGAGATGAGAACTCGCGGGAAGCTAGTGCTGATGTAGTCGTGCAGCATGGCGTCGAATCGAGTGGATAAGTGCAGGCGGCATGAGCTGCACTAACCAAATCAAGGGCCAAAGCTCAGCTCTCGTTAACTAGGGCAGAAAGTGTAGGCAAATCAAGAAGACCTTGTATACCATAAGAAATTGAAGGGGCAGAATGACCTGTTCACAGATTTACGACTCTCATGTGAAGCGCTATCAGCATCCCCAGAGGGCTGATGGTAGGTTTTGGAGTGATAAGGAAGTAAATTGATTCACAGGACAAATAATGGGGCATTAAACTGAATGATTGGTGACTCCTCAGTGCTAGCTCATTAGATTTTGAGCATGCATTCTTGACCTCTTGTGAACTAGAAGACATGTGGAAGGGTGCACCAAACTTGAATGGCATATTTTGCAGAACCAAAACATATGCTACTGAACAGTAAGCTTTAAATGTGGCCATTAATTTTCAATGTGCTGTGTGGGTGCCACTAATTGCAGTGACATAAGCGAACTATCCCCCTTTTTTTTTTCTCTTTCAGGGTAAAGGAGTTGACGTCTATGATGACAACCTCATCGAGCTCGAGCAGTCTTCTCTTGCTGAGCCAATTACACAGGTAAAAAGCTAGTTCCTTGGGATCAGTGTCCTCAGTTACGAAACTGAAGGAGTAGCACTCAGAGTCTTGCTTATGCTCCGAAACTATTAGGTAAGGATCGTTGTAGCCCGCAGCAATGACCCAAGAACTGCACTGTTAAACCAGGAATGCATGACTCTGAGCTCGTGAAGACTTTGGGTCTCATATATCCGCATTAAACAATGGTGTAACAGCTCTTTTACTTAAAGGGATACTGAAGGCAAATAGGAACTCGGTGTGCCATTAAAATGCCAATAAAGAAACCCTGGCTTGCCTCATGTGAAGAATGTGCTTAAGAAGAAATTTCCTTTGAAGAGTCGTACTGCTGGCCCATTCCAAACTGCTCGTCTCCTAGCCAGGAGTATGATATTTCGGGCACGATCGCGGCCTTTTTTTTTCCAACATGTGGCACTGCAGTCACTTGTCTGAGATGTGCCTTAAGCACGAGAGCCGTCCAGAAATAAGGTTAGACATCACATGCTTGTGGCTTTTTACTTAACATTTATGTCGTGACACTGTGAACTAGTAGTGTAGTTAGAAAGTCCTGCTTATCCCCACAGAGGTCCTGTGCATCTCTTTTTTTTTTCAATAAAAGGCTTTCCATCCATCCACCCTTCCAACATTTATGTTGAGAGCTGCATTTGAGCAGAAGCACTGATGTGCTGGATGTTACTATAATTATAACATAAGTAAAAATGTGAGCCTTGCCTACAGAACCACGGTGTGCCTGCCCTTCACCTATGACAGACTGTTTTGTTAACTTTTTTCTGCTTAAATTGTAAGTACTCTTTCTCAACTAGTGCAAATATTATACATAAGAGTTAAAGGCTGTTGTTGCTGTCTAAAATAGTACGTTTGGCTCAATAGCGATGTCAGAGTCTCTTACAAAATTTACCATGACATTCAAGTTTCTGACCTAAAGGAGCGAGACAAATGCTTGTCTGTAGAAGAAAGTAGACTTCTTAAAACACTCAACTTTGCATCACAAAAATGAGTAAGTGCTACTAAAAATGGAGTCTTAGCGCAAATGCTTTGAGGTGAGGATCACAATGGCTGTGGGCGAAGCTGAAGTTTTTAAATGTGGAGCATTTTTTAGTCTCACGATGTCACGCGGAGGCAGGGCCGTCCATACTCCCACTGTGCTTGCTCGTGTCTCGTGCCGCCCAGGAAGACACCCGCAAAACTGTCGCTCCCTTCCCCCTCTCTCGCCTCACAAGGCCAACCTGAAATGATCAGTTTAATTACTGAGTGGTTGTGTACCAGTGATAGAATTATGCTGAAAAGCTGCTACGTCATCAGGCTAGTAATAGTAATAACTGGGATTGCATTTTGTGTACTTCATTTTACTGTCTCTGTTACTTAAGCGCTGTTGTCAATAATAATAATGCTCTAGATATTCTCCAGTGTTGATGTGAAGTATTCTCATTTGCCATTGGTGTCCCTTTAAGCAAGTACAGCTGTTACGCTTGATGCTTAGATGCAGTGTGCAGATCTTAATGGCCGAGAACAATCTCACAGCTTCCGTGCAAGCTTTTGTAGCATGTCTGGTTTCACCCTTGTCTTAGACACTGTGCGTGCATAGCTATTTCATGACGTCAATCCGAGCTTATTTATCTGGTTAAACCATACATTGTCAAGTGGAAGCTTCGTAATACTTTCTGCACAGTTCCTACAAGTGATGACACTGTCCATAGCTGTGTTAGGATTATTTGAGTGCTGCATTGCAGTTTTTCATGTAATTGCAAAAAGAAATTTTATAAATACTCTATATACATTGATGCAGGTACCCTAAATTCCTCTTCATCTCTCTGTAATAGCTATTCATTTCTCCTATTAATTAACCATAAAGAGGCCATGCAGCACTTCTTCAGTATAGTCAGAAAATGCTCCCAATCGGTAGGGGGGGCCTCTGAGAGCACTTGAGCTGAACATTATAGCTCATCACGAGGCCTGGAATTTACAATTAATTCTTAAAGTATGCTAGAAATCATTTCCCCTTCTTTCTACAAACATGCCTGTGCTCCCGCTCATTATCACATTGAAAGTAAGCCACACATTCAAATAAAAAGGACTCAAGGTCATAAGTTGCACGTGACATATCTTAATTACCCATGCCATCCATTCGTGCTTAGCCATGCTCATCAGAATGAGAGAAAAGAGAAAGCAGTTACAGCGTGTGAGAAATTTATGTAACTGCTCGTACTTAACCAATTCTAAAAATTTTTGTGGCGGTCGATTCACGAGGCATGGCTACTTTTGATAAGTGTTGTAGGGCCCCTTTAACATCGGTACTGTGGTTGAGATGTATGGTAGTTACAATAGTGTGAAGAGGCATGACAGGCCTAGTTCTCATTGACCTGTATGTTCACACACCTTGTTAAACTTGACTCATACCTGTGCCCTTTGCTGTGGGGTGCTTTATTGCACATTTGCGGTATGTCTTGCACATGTATATTAATGTTTGCATTCATTATCAAAGCCAACATAAGAGAAACCACGCCAGCTCTTTTTCTTCCCTTTTTTCTTTGGACTTGTTTGTAATTCAGTCCTAATGGTATTCATTAGTAATCATCTCTTGTGACAAAATGCCTTTGGTAACACATGCTGCTTATTACGGGCTGTCGTTCCTGTAAGCTGAGGCTTATCAAGTCCTATAGAAAGCTCAAATGACAAATAGGTTGCGACTTTTGAAGTTGTTTCTCGTGACGTTGAAAGCTTTGTTAGCATTTGATTGAAGCTACCCGAAAAAAATTTTTTTGAAACCTAGACACCATGAAATCCAGTCTAAGAAAGACTAAGTCTAATTAGTCCTTGACTAATTGTTTATTTCTTCCCTTCCATCATGTTTCATCTAAGAAATTGAGATAGTTAATGTCTTTGCGATTACAGTTGTAAGAAGAGGGACATGCCTGTATGCATGGCGCTTGTAATTTGCAGCGAGTTCATTTCCTGACAGTTCATATGAAAATTCGCTAGTGTCAGCTTCAGTATTAGTCGCTAGGGAATATGCCAAGGCATGTCTGCCCTTTCTTTTTCTTTTTCATTTCTTTTTTGTTATTTTCTGTAGGCACACGTGCATGCCGACAGTTTTGGCTTATTTGAATATTGTAGCATTTTTTGATTACTTCAATAATGTAACAATAGTTCTAATTACTGTTGGAAATAGCAGAAAAATGTGAATCATCAACTATTATAACCTTTAAAAACGAGTGCAGTTGACAAATAATCGACTAGCTGTGAGAAAGCACGAAGGAACACTAGTATAATATAAAAATGTGCATGTCAGTACAGTGTGGGCTCGTTACTATGCTTCAACAATTAGTATAATTACATTGCTGCATTAAGCATTGGCACAGAACCTTGTTCTTTCTTTTATATTGTGCATAAAGGCACATACATGCAAACATGTTTCTGAAACACGTGTATGTGTATCCTTGTACACTTGTTTGTGCTTGCTAGCGATGTGCATTTGCAACAGGGCGCACTGCTATTCCTTCAGGGATGGTTTACGGGCAGGTATCTCAAGCATAGCTCCTTCAAAATGCTGGCTAGTCATTGTTATTTTTTTCTCACAATTTAGTTTAGGTTGTATGCTTCAGAGCCTTGTGTGGGAGACGCCATAAATTTGCAAGACGTGCAGCTTCCATTTCTTTGAAGAACCTAAATATTTTTAGCTAACATGAGTAGTCTGATTCACAGATACTAATAGAAGATTTCAAAGAATGTTAGATTGAATTCTATTGTACTGCTTAGAGATTGGGCATGTTATGGAGTTCCGAGGTGCATAGGTTAGATTTATGCAGAGCTTTGACCCTTCTTCCCACCCTGAGCAGTAGTTACAGCATGTGAGGACGTATTTTTTTTTTTGTTTTTGCAAGGCTCTTTGCTAACTTGTACATTATAGATGGTGCAATGGAAAGGGCTACAGTCTAGCCCACCTACAATGCACCTTATAGTGTCATTCAATTTGTCAACCTAAATTAGATATTCACATCAAGCGATCTTGTAATAGATGCGTGAATATTTTGGTAGTTTTAGATCATAAAAGTAACGTGCGACTTATCAAGGTGTCTTGATGCAGCCCCATTAATACACTAGTCGCTTGTTTCAGACTCGGTCTCTACATCAAGAGGGACAGTTTCTCTTTATCCACTTGCTCCCATTCGTGCTCTTGCTTCGGCATATTCATGCCCTTGGTTGCCTTTGCCGATGCTTTTGTAGTTTATGCTTTGGATCTTGGTACTGGCAGTGTTGTGAGAGCTGTTAATGATCGGAAAACATTGGAAAGCAGTACAAAGCTACAAGCAAGCCTACGCGTGTCCTTTCCAAGGCTTCACAGTCGAAGCTAAATTTGTATGGAGTCAAGGATGCCTGGTGGCATTACCGTCAATCCAGGGAAGTTGCTTCATGGAGTTAACCAGAAAGCTAGAAAGTTGCAGTGCGAGGGTACAAGTTTAGGTGCTGAAATGCCAACTAGGCTAACTTCGTATAATTTGCAAGCTGTAAGCAGATTCATGCTGAGAGTTTTCATCGACATGAAAGAAGCTTGTCATGACTGAATTTGAAGAACAATGTTTTAAGGCTTGGTGCTAAGGCTGGGACAAACATTTTTTTTACGAGCACCTTTCCTGCTGTGAAAGTTTTTCGGCTATATTTTTAGCTTCAGCTAACTTTCGGTTGGTTGATCTCTCATGAGAAAGTTGGGCTAGTTAATTCTGTATTAAATGCATAGAAGAATTTTCAGCGAAGGAAGCAAGTACAGTCCACTTACTTCCCTCCTCAAGATAAAGCCAATAATATTGGTTGGTGCAGAGAGAACAGAAACCTATTATCATCATGAATCAGCTTCATTAATCATCAAAATCAGCATCAGCCGTCATGAAGAGGTAGAGATAGAAGGAAAAAAAAGAGGAAGGGAAAAAAGGCAGAAAAAGATAGAAAGACAATGAACAAATAGAGAGAAAAATACAGGAACGGACAAAATAATGAGGGTAAAAAGAGAGAGAAAGAGGAAGCGAGAAATAGAGAGAAAGAAAGTGAGAAATGGGAGAAAAGAAGAAACAAGGCAGGCACCCAGCTCCTCTGCACTTCCTTTGGGCTTGGCTCCACTAGCAAGAGGCTGCCTTAATTTAATTTTTTTTTTTTTTTCGCCGTAAATTCTTCTAATGCAGAGAGCCCTCTCATCAATCTACTTTTGCTCTCCGTACAACCGATTGCCCCTTACCCTGAGAGCTGTGAATGGGAAGGGAGGTGGGCCTCTCCTGGGAACTGACAGTGAGCGTGTGTGTGTGTCGCGTGTGCTCCTCGTTGCCCAACCAAGCACGCTAGTGGTGCCGGGCACGAGGTAGAGGGCCGCCACTGCTGTCTCTGCTGGTGGCCACTGCCTCGGCGTGCGGGACTACTCGCTGGGGGCGCTTGTCCGTGTTGGTTCTACTTGGCACCTCCCTCCTTTCTCTCCTCCTGCGGGGTCGCACCTCCTAGGACAATCTTGGCTACCAGCTGCTCTTGCGACATGGATGGAAATCCGGACAGGGCCTGGGAAAAAATGAGCAAGGTTGGACACTTTTGTCACTTCTTGCATCTCGTGTGTGTAGTGTACCAAATAGACTCGCGTAAACGCCTCGCACCTCGTTATCCCTTTGTGTGGAAAGTGTTGGCTCGGACTTGGTACGAATAAAAATTACGCGGCCATTTGCATGCTGGGAAAATCATCGCTACTTTTCGATAGCCCTCGTCTTCCTTCTTGAAGGTGCATTACTTTTTCTTTTTACTTATGGTAAAAATATTCATGCAACATTAAATAGAAGGGTCATAAACCACTTAAATGCTAATATAAACCAAAGAATACTTAAACATGTGGAGTTGCTTGGAAATAGAAAACAAAAATTCACTCTTTGTGAGCATGATGCTGTTTAATGTCCACCAGCCACTATCCATCTGCCAAGTTTTCTTCTGTTTTCTTGAATGATCTTGCTATGAAACTTGACCTATTGCACTCTTGTATGTTTAGTGTGGATAGTGCTGTCATGTCTTTGAGTTCACTGATGGACGACTGACAGTGTGATGCGACTAAGGTTTGGTTTCTTTATGCAAATACTGCTGTTTTTGGCTCCTTAAACCAGAGGTGTTATTGGACTATTGCGCTCTCATTATTTGGAAAAACTTTGGTAGCAGCGTTTCGTGCAGTGTTAAAGACGGGGCTGTTACGCAAGTCTATATGGTAACGTGAAGTGCCTTACGGATTGTGAACGAAATGCATGCTTATAAAGAAAATACTTGATCCTAACTATACAAAAGGTGCAAACCCTTGGCAGCCCTTTATGTCTGCCTGGTAGTTTATTGAAGAAACAGGAGTGAATGACACATTGTGGCTGTGCATTGACCCCGTTTTTGTGCATTAGTTTTAGTGGTGAGAAAGTGGAACCATACACTCTTTTTCTCCTGCATTCTTTTGTACCCCTTTCCTCTTCCCAAGTACATTACAGCAGCCTGGAGATCACTAGTAGACCTTTACCTCACTGCTTCCTGCTAATGTGCTGCTTCCTGCTAATGTGGTCGAGTCTAACCTAACCAGTTATCTCATTTTATCAAGCTTCCATTGGACTTCAGTTAAGCAATTTGGAAGGGAGTATTTCGAATGAGATGGCACAAGCATCTTATATATTTCTAATGCCTCACCACCTTCCCCACTCATCAGCTTGAGCCCTTTGTAGAAGGATAAGCTTAATTCCATCTTTTGTGACAATGATAAAAATATCAGAAGAAAGGAAGCTTCTCGGCTGTTCATAAAGCTTCAAATGTTTATAGCGTGCTAAAGCAGGGGTGCGAGAGCTGCACCAGTTGTGCCAGTTTGGTGCAGTTCATTATGCGTGCACAAAGCTGTGCCAAAATGCCAAACTGACATTAAAATTTCGGGATGAAACTTTAGCAAGAAATTGAGATTGTGTTGGTCATCTGCAGTTTGTGAATCGCCATCCAGTTCATTCTAGATTTGCAGACCCTACCCCATCATGAAAGAAAAGAAGAAAAGGTTAAGTGGTTCAAAAATTTCCTGACCATGCAGAACACTTTTCAGGACACTTTTGCCACAGTAAATTGGTGCCTTGCAGAAAAAAAAAAAAAAAACCACGAAGATTTAGAAAGGACCATTAGTACTTGCTGTCATGAGACACTGCACATTTGGTTCCTTAAAAAAGGCCTTAGCCGACGGCTAATTTAACCCTTTCGCCAAAAGTAATATGTGCCAGTTCAGTAGAAATTCTTTATTGCTTGTGTGTTCACGTGCCTTATATTTACGTGTACTAATATGATCGCTGACTTCTAAATAAATTACTGGTAGTCATTGAGAGCTGTGTATGACATTTCTGTGGCCACAAGAAGCAGTGAACAGAAACGTTTGCCAGTTTTCTTTTTCGCAACCCCCACTCTGTCATGCTTTACGTATCCCAAATTTCGAGGTCGTTAGTTTGGCAGGTCCACATTAGCATTAGCGGTGCCTGTCAAATGATTTGACGGGTGCTTGAAATGGTAATGTGGACTTTAGCATTGTTCATACCGTGAGGTGGCTCAACACATTACTTTCATTGAAATAGCTATGCTCACGTGCTCTGTGCGGGAGTGAGCTGATGTTGGATGGTTCCCACCCACACATTTGTTTTAATTTTTTTTTTCAAAGGTAAGTTTTTATTGTACTGCTTCAATTTGCATTTTGTGCTCCAAGTTTTATTTTGGCTGTTGCACCCCTGCTAAAGGTCTTGTCATAACTATTGCATTTGTGCGTAGTAACGGAGAGGTAAACCTATCTGTAGCAATCACTAATGCGAAAGCTGTGGCAGCACAAAAGTATAGAGGAAATCAAATTGTTAACCCGATAAACAAGATTGTATAAATTTACAAAATTCCGAATTATTCCTGCTAAGTTCTTTATTACAGCCAATGTTAGTTTAGACACTGTAGGCCATAGCAAAAACAAATTAGCTATGGTTACTAGTACCTGTATAAATTTACAAAATTACCAATTATTCATGTTTTCTTTATTACAGCCAATGTTAGTTCAGACACTGTAGGCTATAGCAAAAACGAATTAGTTATGGTTACTAGTAGCTTGTTCCAATGAAGTCCACTTTTTCACCTACAATGAGAAGTAATGAGCTATGCCATTCAAATTTTGCAAAGTTCACTGATGTGTTTGGTGGTGACCCAACAGTCATGCATGGTGTTATGCATTACAGGCTCTGTGTGTGGTGTTTGTCTTATAGTGCAGTTAACAATATGTAACACAAACATTGCAGCCTTGACAATCAAGTTTAGGCAGTTAATAAAATAGCATTTGCTGTCGGCAACCTTGACGTGAGTTTGTGTAATAAGATCAGAAGCCTGTAGCCATTCGTAGCAGTGTTACAGACACAATATCTTTTAGCGTTCTAATTAGGCCTCCTTGCTATCTAGGATACCATGAACTTACTGAATTTTCTCATATTAGAAGCAAACTAAGGAAACATGCAAAAATTTTGTTAATGTAAAATTTGCATGTAGTACACTATATTGCAATTTAGGCTTTGTATGTTTCTGTGAGTTACATGGTGCATGGTGTCGGGACATGCACATCAAGTTTTTAAACGTAGCAGTCAAAGTATGTGCAGAAACTGTGTAATTTTGCTAGCGTAACATAATCATGCAGCAGGGAAGACACTTTCGTTGTGAGCTTACATTTCAAGAAATACTGCGTTTTCAACTATAAAAATGCCAGTGCACACATATTTTAGGCTGCTTTTAATATGCCTAGAGTGTTCACATAATGCACACTGTTCATAATGCAGAGTGTTCATATAATGCACAAATTAATGGTAAAATTTGGTGTGCACTTAAAGTTTTAATTGCTGTCTTGTTGTGGCTGGAGCCAAATTTTTATTTAGGTGCATAGTGTAATTAGATTTCCTACGTGTTTGTACAGTGTGCATGTAAATGTAGAAACAGTATGTCAGTTTATGATGCCAGCTTGTGGCTTTGATTATGGTCACTCTTTGCTGTGCATACTCATGCATTACTTTGTTAAGTTGCATTATTAGTACTGCTATTACGACTGGTATCGACACAACAGTTACTATAGTTTACACATTGAGGAACAAAAGCAGGACATGCCTTTGTTCCCAATTTTGATATGGTTTGTGTTATTCCTTCAAGTGGCTTCAAGTAATTTCAGTGCTTCATCACTTATGTGGTTCAGCTCCAGAAAGAAACCTCGGAAATCTCGTAATGTAGTGAGCTCCCATCATGAATCCAAAGCATGCTGGTACTGAAAACTCTGGTTCTTTGCCTGCGTCGGCTGCTCTTTTGGAGCTATTGTGTTGGGCCAAAATGAGCTGGGCCTGCAGTTTCGGGATTGACTGGAGGATGTGGTTCCATCGCGGTGGCATCGCAGTAGTGTGGTGCATGCGCCTAGAGCTGGCAGCTGATGGGCGTCGACTTGAGCAATGGGCGTCGACTTGAGCAGACTTCAGCCGCTGATGCCATGCGCGTGAGGTGCCACCGGTAACCTGGTGGGTGTCACCTGGGCAGCTGCTCTCTTGGACAAGCCGGAAGGAATGTTCATCATGGGTTCCTCTGAGCAGGTGAGCTTAATGCGGCAGTTATCTTGCCCAGCATGCACATATATATAGAAAAGATTTTTCGGGGCTATATCACGAAAATCGTTGTTCTATAATAGTTAAATGTTCACCAATTTCTTGAAGATGTGAGGTCACTATGGTTACTAATAACTGAGTTGCAAAGATATATCGCAGCACCATGGCCTCTGCAATTAGCTTCAGCAGTGTGCCATTGCATTCACACGGGGAGAGCATAATGAGAGAAAGTAGTGTGACAATCAAGAGTGTTGCTGATCAGACGCAGAACTTGGGCTAAGATTGCCATCTTAGAATAAAGAGTTCAGAAAAAAAATCACCATGGCCAACTAGAGAGAAATGCGACACGCATCGTTACTCCCGCTAGCTTTGCAACGATTTCTCGCATGGCAGGCATAAACGGGCAACACAACATTACAGCCAGGCAAGCATTACAGAGCTATCTTTAATAGGGATGAATGCTATGCGTGAGACTTGGGCTATAGTCGTTGCCTCAAGGTGTGTTAAGGCATTGTCAAAATTGCACTTCTCGTGTTAATGGTGCGCTGAATGGGATGGCCATAGCAAAGGCGCACTGCCAGTGCAATTCGGAGGCAATGGTAGAGTAGAGCCCACTGTTTTTGTATCACTGGTGACACCTTGGTTCCATAGTTGGTTTCCTCCTGAGCCCACTGTTTTTGTATCACTGGTGACACCTTGGTTCCATAGTTGTTTTCTTCCTGAGTGAAGTCATTCTAATTTGCGACGCGGATGCGACTTCATAAAACAGAAGCCCTGCCAAAATGACTTGAGTACAGCAGCCAATTGCCTCCACGACTGAGAAAACAGTTTCCATTCATGTTCTATGTGATGTTCTCTGTTACTGACCCGGCTGCGGCGGCTGCATTTCCGATGGAGGCGGAAATGTCGAGGCCCGTGTGCTCAGATTTGG